TTGATGATGGGGACCCTGCCTAAGACTCTGGCTGCCTCCCTTTCTGACTGGTCAGCACCAAAGCCATGCCTTACTGGTTGAGGATTTCTCTCCCTGGGGGGCTCAGGGAAGTTGCTTCCTCATCTGGGAGGTCTGGGTTGAGAGTGGCTCCCAGGTCACCCCAGGATCCCACGGACAGAACAAGGAACCTGTGGGGGGCCCGCTTCTGCCCTGGGATATGGAGAAGAGAGCAGAGGCCATGAAAGCCAACAAAATCAGCTTTCTAAGTTGGGTTGAGAATTCAGGGACACTTGACTCTCCAGTGCAACCTCTGTTCTAATCCCTGGGGTTATATTTTCCCCATTTAAACAGAAAGATTTCATAGTCTTTTAAATCAATCTTTTCAGCATCACTGATTTGGAATAACACGCTTAGCGGCTTAGAAAGAAAGTGACCTTCCCTGTTAACTGGGCCCTCAGCAAGATGTCCTCCCATGAGCCCATTTTCTCATGAAACCCTGACCTTTTGTGGCAGTGGGAGGGGAGGGGCAGGACCCCTCCTAGCACCTGCATTCCTGACCCAAACTCTGTCCTTGTGTCCCAGGCACATCCTTTGCTGCTCGCTATACCTGCTGGCAGCAACCTGGGTATGGCCAGACTGTCAGCAGATGGAAACCCAGAGGACACTGGATTGCCAGCCAAGACCCTTTTTCTACCCCACAACTGAACATTCCACTCCTGCCTACAGTTTCTGTAGCACCTTTGCCCCAGGGTGTATTCTGGGGGGGCGGTCATACTTGCCCCAGAAACCATAAAAGCCGGGCAGGGTGGCAGTGAGATTGTTCAACAGGATTAGAGCAGCACAAACGCTGGCGGCCAGGGTCCCTGGACAAAGCCCCTGTCAGCTGGCTGTGTTCAACATCACAAACTCCTTGGCCTCCTTTGGGGTCTAGAATTGAAGCACGCAGCTTAACCAACTGCAGTAAATTGCTGAGGCCTCAAACACTCAATCTCACTCAACTGTGAAACCAGTGTTTTCGTTTGTAAATAACATGGGGAGAACCAACTTACACCAGAAGGGAAAGAGTAACACGTTTCAAAATTGTCATTCACAGCACCTGCCCAGTGTTACAATCAAACCGAAATGGAATCAACACTCCTTTTGGTTGAGGCTCTGATTTTTCTTTTTTTAAAATTGCTTTCTACTAAATGCAGGCCCTGTTGGAACAGGCAGCTTCCAATGTGATGTGATCAAAGGTGTGGAAAGTCATCCTGGGCCTGACATGCTTCCCCACGGAACCTGCTTCAGATAAACCAGCCTTATCTGGCACAACTTCTTGGTCTTCTTCATTGTGGGCAGTTGGAGAACCACAGCCCCGGGCCTCCAGGAACCAGTGGCCCCATTGCTTCAGACCAGTGCTTCTTGAATGTCTGGGATCATCAGCAATGCCTGGAAGCTCCTGACTGCACGGATGGCCAGTGCCACTCTTGGGGGATTTCTGAGTCACTGGGTCTGCGCTGGGATCAGAGACCTTGCAAGTCCTACGAGTCCCCAGGTGAGGCGCTCTGGAATGACACTTTGAGAACTACTGAACTAGCTGACATTCAGAGAACCATAATGTGACCTGGAGGCAGAGGGTGGAGGTGTTTTGGCAGTGAAGGAGGTGCAAAAACAGAAGACCACAAAGAAGAAAGGCTCTGAATAGGCTCTTCCCCTGTCCTCTTGATGACAAAGTGAAAGGAATGTATGGTCTTCGTGTACATCTCTCATCCTACGAGTCAGCTACATCAACGAAAAGACTTCCCCAGAGTGATGTCACCAGTGTAGTAGATAGTGAGGTGGAGGCCAGCACTTCCCAGCTACTCCTCTCTCCATGTCCCTACTGCCATCTTCCCATCTATGGACCACAGGCCCTCTATTTGTCCTCTGGAGTTTGCAAAGAGCAAGACCCCTAAAGCTGGCTGGGTAAGAGGACACACACCCCCAGAGGCCCACAGACTGGCTCGGAGCTCCACCGCATTAGAGAACAGAAAGCATTTCCTCCACACTTGCCCACGAGCTGCCTGTACCACTGCAGGGGTGTGGAGGCAAAGGAGAACTACTGTCCACCTGTGAGATGGATGGACAGGTGTGAGCCAGGCTGCTGCATTTTGTTGGTGGCACAGGCAGAGCCAAGAGGGCCCCTGAGGCCATCATGGGCACTGGGGCTAGACCAGCCGGGACAAAGGAGCAGCTTTTGTGTACTTAGCTGCAGGTCAGGGGAACACAAGGGAACCAGTGGATTCATGGAAGGTTACCAGGGGCTCTGTGCAGGGCATTCAGCTTTTTCCCAGCAATGCTCCTAGCCCCTGGTGGAGGGCAGCAGCACACGGGTGGAGGTTCACTGGGATCCCAGCTAATCCTCTGTTTGAAGGAAGGAGATGTCCTCTGTGAGAGCCCAACCTTCTGAGCACATGGAATCAGGGAGCCCATAGCTTTCTCTCAGCACACAACCCAGTGCTCAGACACCCTGGAGTCACCAATAGGCACAAAGGGCCACAGGATAGAAGATACAGGTTATGGCATGGGAGGAAAGTGACACAAGAACTCGGAGAAGGGAAAGATCAACTCCAACTAGGAAGCCAGGAAGCCTTCCTGAAGCAGGTGCATGTGGACAGAGCCCCCGTGAGGAGGTGGGAAGCTCAATTCTACAGTTCACATCCCTCCTCCCTCAGCCCCCCAACGTGGTCAGCTGTGTAAGCCTGACAAATCCAGTCCTCAGTTTTCAAATGAACTATCTGCCCTAAGTGCCTCACAGCATTGTGAGGATGAACTGCGAACTGATTTCAATGCAGAGAGGATAAATATAAGCCCTTTTCTAATCATTGGGGATAGAGGGCAGGAAGCTAAAAGCAGAAAGTGTGTAGGGCGGGGAAGAGGATGGTGACACCTGGCAAAGCTCAGGACGTGGGGGTGGGACAGAAGAGGACATGATGTAAGCACCCTCTAGGCTGTCACTGGTCTTAACGCCCCCTCCTTTTTTTTTTTCTAAAGATTCATTTATTTGTTTCAAAGTCAAGAGTTACAGAGAGAAAAAGAGAGAGAGACAGAGAGAGAGGTGTCTACCTCTCTCTCTCTCCCCAAATGGCCACCATGTACCAGGAGCCAAGAGCTTCTTCTGGGCCTCCCGTGGGGGTTCAGCAGTCCAAAGACTTGAGCCATCCTCCGCTGCTTTTCCAGGAGCTGGATTGGAAGTGGAGCAACCGAAATCTGAACCAGTGCCTACATGGGATGCTGGGATTGTAGGTGGTGACTTTACCGGCAATTACACAACACTACCTCCTCCTCTCACTTTTTGCCCCTCCCAACCCGATTTGATTGAAACATGTCCAATAAGAGTAAATCAGACCATCCAAACTTGTCTGCCCTGGGGAAAGCAGAGTGCACCTGGGGAACAGTAGCGACAGCATGGCAAGGCCAACACAGTCCTGGGGCAGGTGATGGAAGCCTCGGTCTTCCCTAGGCTCCCGGCATAGGGCCTAGACTCGGTGGGGGCCCAGTACCTTTTAAGTACCTGAGTGCTTCTTAAGGAATCTTATACTCATGGTTCATGCAGATTCTTAGCTACAAGCCAGAGAGGCAGACGGGGTCAGGAAAATCCAGTTTCCCAGGAGGGATGAGAGCTAGGAGGGGGCAGTAGGATCAACCACCTCAAGCCAGCATGGCCAGGAGGGACTCAGCCTCCTCACTCAGTGTCCCCGTCTCAGCCCAGGCCACCTCTCTAAGAGCCTTTACTGCAGCAAGCCTTTAGGCAACAAACCCTCTTCTCTCAGTTGACTGAAGACCCACTGTGTGTTGTTCTAGGAGCTTCCCATGGGCACTCCAACTGAGCCAGACCTTTTATTGTATGATGCTCCCCAATGAACTAATATATTTCAATGCAGAAGATGACCCCAGGTACAAGACTGTTGTTTATTCTCTGGGTCTTTGATCAAATCAGAGGCGATTTGGGTGAAAGCCTTTGGCTTGTTTGTTTTGAATCATCACTCCTTATGAGACAGAATTAGAAGTTCTGGACTCTGGGTAGATAGCAAAGGGCAATGTTGACTTGCTTGTCTGCTTGTTTTGTTTTACCACAGACATTCCCGTCTACAGAGCTGGCTGTCGACTTTGACAGATGGCATGGTCACAGGAGCAGCAGCAGGGGACAGTTCATGGCTGAGGTGGCCAAATGATTGGTGGCCCTGAGGAACTCTGGTCTGAGCTCTAGCCAGTGCGGACAGGTTGGGGGCCCTGCCTCCCCGGCCCCTTGGTGCCCCCTTGTTATTGCTGCTGCTGCTGCTGTGTGGGGCAGACCAGCAGAACTATGCCAGGGGCTGGTGTGATGGCTCAATTGGCTAATCCTCCTTGTAGCGCTGGCATCCTACATGGACACTGGTTTGTGTCCTAGCTGCTCCACTTCCTATCCAGCTCCCTGCTTGTAGCCTGGGAAGGCAGTGGAGGATGGTCCAAAGCCTTGGGACCCCATACCCACATGAGAGCCCTGGAAAGAGCCTCTGTTTCCTGGATTTAGATTGGCTCAGCTTTGGCTGTGGAGGTGGGTCTGGTGATGTGCTCACATGGAAGGGGCTTAGTAGCACCCCTAACATGGCAGGAACCTAGGGCATGGAGGATAGAATGTCACACGGGTCCCAGCTCCTGAAGAGAGCAGGTGCTCCGGGAGGAGGAGCCCCAAAGGGTGTCCTGAGTAGGAGATGAGATGTTTGGGTGGGTGGGGGCTACAGCGAAATACACCAAGACACAATTTTACAGCAAAAGAGGTTTAGAGCTAGAAGAGATTTTAGGGATCATCCAGCTCAACCTTCTACAAACTACACAGCCTGGCATTACTGACCATGGCCAAGACCGAGAATCAGGTTCCTCCCCCAAGACATGGGCCTCTGGCCTCCCAGCCCGCCAATCCCCATAAAGCAGAAGCACCCTCTGTACACTGTAAGCATTCTCAGGCCCTCGTGGGCTGCCGGAAGCACAGGGGCGCATACCTTGTGAGAATAGTGCTGATCGACGATCCTCGCCAGCCCAAAGTCGCCGATCTTGAGCACCAGGTCCTCTGTGCTGATGAAGATGTTGGCTGGCTTCAGATCCCTGTGCAGCACGTTGGCAGAGTGGATGTATTTGAGGCCACGCAGCAGCTGGTACATGAACAGCTTGGCGTGCTCCTCCGTCAGCGTGCCCTGCTCCAGCAGGCGTGCCAGGTCCGTCTCCATGTGCTCCTGGATGATGTAAGCCACGCTGAACTGGAAGAGCTCACCCTGTAGGTCAGCACCCTGGGGCCCCAGCACCTCGTACACCTTCACGATGTTGTCGTGCTCCAGGCGCCTGATGATCTTGATCTCCCGGAGCGCGTGTTTCATGCTGCGGGCGTCGCTCAGGGCAATCTTCTTCACAGCCACCTTGCGACACGTGTGACTGTCCACAGCTGACAGCACCAGCCCATTGACCCCGAAGCCCAGGGGCCGGAAGTCAATGAAGCGTCCCCCGAGGTCATACCCATACACACTGGCGAGGCAGTCGCCCCTCTCAGCCATGGTCGAGGGTTAGGTGTCAGGGGCTGCCCTTGCGACAGATGGGCAGATGGTAGAGGCCAAATGAGTGCTGGCTGGTGGCCTCCCTGGCACGCTTCATGCTGTCAGGTGCAGCAGCTGAGAGGTACTATAGCTCCTGGTGAGGTCACTGCCACCAGCTCTCTGGAGATAAGGGTAGCCTCTGTCTCTGCCCGGCTCAGACCCAGGCTGTCTCCTTTGCTTGTACTGGGAAGCCCATCCACCAGCTCCTGTGTTTCTAGAAGCTTCTCTGAAGCTTTGAATGGTTCATGCTTCTTGAAGATGAAGCATCTTAGAAAGAAAAAAATAAATACTATCATTATCTATGGGAAGTTGGTTTGTTGTGTTTTGAGCCTAACAGACCTCAAAAAATAGATAACAGAAACCCAGCCATTTAAACCCTCTGCTACAAGAGACCTGGCTGAAGTGCTGCCCAGGTGTATCACTACCTCCCATTGTGTTCCAAGAAGATTGGAGGAGTCCCAGCAGTGGGTTCTAGAAGTTTCCAGAGGGCTTCTTTCTATTTTGCCAGCTCCCCTTCCTATGAGCTCACCTTGGATTCCAAAAGTCAATCCGGCATGGGGAGCATGAGTGGAGAAGGCCAGAGTGAGGCATGCAGCGCTCATAGACCACACACCTGCTGGGAACCCCAAGTCCAGGGAGCTCAGCCACGCAGCCTCGATCAAAACTGGGCTCTCTTGCACCCGGAGAAGCTGTAGCAAGCTGGCATCCTTCAGAACCCGTTTCCTTCCCTGTCGAAGAAACAGCGCTGGGTAAATTTCCACCCTCCTGCTCCCCACACCTTCCCACTTGTGTCTTTTGTTCACCAGCCCCAGTGTTATTTGATCTGTCCAGCCAGCTGAAACACTGCTTGCTCAGGGGATTCCGGGCTTCACACGCCCTGGTTCCCCCTCCTGCTGTGTGCAGCAGGCCCCTGGAAGAGAGAGGGGAATTGGATGAATTGGATAAGATCATCAGCTGTATGCCTTTTATGCTGGCTCCCCCACAGATAACACGTGCCATCTGTGGGAGGGGGTTACTGCTTCTGACCTTTGCAACAAATGAATTTGTTCTACTCTCCAAGCACACATATGCAGCACTAGCTAGGAAGGCTGTAGGTAGGAAGGAGCTAGTTGCAGACAAAAAAATAAATAAATAAAAGATGGATTGATAGTCTCACTTTCTCACTCAGGCTCCTTTCTTGCCTCCACTGAACATCTGAAGAGAGAATTTGCCTCAGGGAATGACACCCAGTGACAGGTGTATTTCTTGCCTTCCACGTAAGTTGCAAAAGCATATATGTCAAATTATAATCCCCTCAACCCCAAGAAATCAGATATAGACTTCTCAGGATTAAACTAGTCTGACATGGTAAACTGTATGTGAGTGCTTCAATAACTTTCTGGAAAAGTGGAAGGAAATGATGAGTTTATTTTGGTGCAAAGCATGCTGGAAGCATATGCATCCTGTTTTCATCATACATATTTTTCATAAACTTTTTAAGGGACCCCTTTGTATTCACTTCAATGAGCAACAGGTCAAACCCAAGTTCAACTGTGCCGATGCCCCCAGTGGTTACTGACTTAAATTACAGAGTAGCACCAAAGTGGGGAGAAAAAAAAGCTGATAACTCAGCCACATAAATTCAGTTCTAGGCAGGAAAGTTGCAATCAAACCCCTAAGACAGCTTTCTGAGTTCACCAAGTCCAAGGCCTCAGGCAGAACAGAGTGTGCAGCACACACTGCAGGAACCCCTTGGAGGGGCACCTGGCTATCTGAACTCCACACCACTCTGCAGATGAGAAATGAAGCAAGACCACCATGAACTCAATGCCCTGAAACAAAGGGATACAAATCAGTGCATGTGGGTGACCTGAAGATGGTCAGTCATCAGATCCCCTCCAATGACCTCTCACCAAAGACAGTAGCCTAGGATAGGCAACATAGGAATAGCTCTCAGCCAATGGCATTGTTCAACATTGCCTTACATTGGAAGAGGAGGCACCTGCTGTTTTGGTGTCAAGATCTTTAGGAGTCCTTCTACTCTGCATGCTTCCATAGGGTCTGGCAGCAAAATAATCACAGAGAATTTCAGACTGGGAAGCAATCTTGGGGAGCAAGTGCACACTCTCCTTGCCTCATCTGACCAGGAGCCAATCTTGGCCAGGTCTGTCAACCACCTGGCCAAGCATCACTGGCAGTGAGTAACCACCATCTGCCCCTCCACACCTTCCCTGAAAGGCAGGTGAGGACGTTTAAGCTTGGGGAGTGCCAGCTCAGGGCTTCCAGCACACACAGGGCTAGGTACATGGCCTTTGTTCTGTTAGAGGATGCGTGGCCATTTAGAGATGGTGCTGGGACCCCTACAGAGGCACAGCCCATGGGTTATACTCAGAAGTCCAGCTGGAGACCCAACTCAGGAGAACCAAGAGTCTCTGGTCTGGCTCCCAAGGCCACAGCAATCCACCTATCTTGCTGTCTGAGGCTGAGTGGAGCCAAAGCCTTCTTCCTCCACAGCTCCTGCTGGGCTGCGAACAGGATAGAGCACAGGACAGGAGGATGACCTCACAAGCCAGCTGAAGGCAGGATTTGCTGCAATGCAGATTATCTGTGAATAATTAAGAGGTGATTCATGTATTTTTAAAACCCTCTTTTTCCTCTCCCACAGCAGGCACTGTCTTTCTCAGTGTCTTTCACACTGTCATCTTTAGTGGCATGTACCATGTCACCCTGGGGAGGTTAGACGCCAGCCACTCCACTCCCTCACAGGGCCCCTACATATCATCTTTTTATTTCTGCCATGTTTCTTCACTTGTGCCTTCCCAGTTCCTGCAATGCTTTCCTGCTCCCTGCCTTGCCCTTGTTGCAGTCCTGGTGGCCATTTGGAATCCAGACAATGTCTTATTTTCTTCCTGAAGTTTCCATCCGGTCCCTAGTGACATTTCTCCCTTTTAAAAACTCTCGCTGACATTCGCTGTATACTACCCTGGGTTGACCCTGAACTTGTTCTACATGTACACCTCCTAATTTCATTGTGGCTTGGAAAGGCCTCAATGCCATTTAATAAAGCTTACAAAATAGCCACGCCCCAGTTCCTACATGTTCAGCTGTCCCCTCCACCTCCTGCAGGCTTGCTGCTCCAATGGGATTTATTGAGCTCACCATAAGTTCCAAACACACACACACACACACACACACACACACACACACACACACACAAACTTCTACTTCTGAAGTTGAACCCTCTCAGGATCACCTGCTTAGGCTGCCGCCCCTCTTAGAATTTCCACATGCTAACCAGGTAGCCCTGACCCATCTTTGGTCCCCATTTCAGTTTCCTGTTTCTCTAGCCTTCCCAAATCGCTTCCTTCTCCGAGTCCTCTATCATGTCTATAGAAGGGGACTGAGTTAACAAAACCTCTACCACAGAGACATCCCACATCAGCGGTTCATTTCTTGTGTGTAATACCAAGAGGTGTGGGCCCATCAGCCCTGGAGAGAGGCAGACAGACATCTGGATGTATCTCTTCCCTGTCCCTCTCCTGCTTTGACCCAAGGTGGAGAGGGACAACAGCCCTTGGCACAATGCAGATGCCTAGCAAAGCACCACTGTGAGGTGGAGGCTCAGAGCTGCTCTGAATCACAGGTGTGACTTCACAGCCAGGGACTTGGCATTCACTGTGTGAGACAGAAAGGTCATCGTTCTGTCATGCTCCGATGACACCAGTAGGAGGAATGCGTGGAAGTCCCACACAATGGGGGCCAACACTGTGATCCCACACAGGAACAGAAATCTCTGTCCCCAGGCCTCGGAACAGTGGCGCTCTGGCACTTGCCAGATTACTCACCGACTCTGCTGTGATCGTTTGTTTGAAGCCAATTAAGGCTTCTCACACTCAGGCAGCCTTTTAACAGGTGGAGGCGAACCAGAGACAGGCTGGTGGGTGCCAGCTGTCCTCCCAGGGACTCCTGGGGCTCTAGATTACAGATTTGGCTTTGGAAATTCTAAATTTAGACTCACTTCCCCCAAACCTCATGCTGTCAGCTTGCAGCAGGAACGCGCGCCCCCGGTGAGGTGCTGACATTTCACAGATACTGCTTTCCTCCCTCTCCTGAGCATCTCTCTCTCTTTCTCTCTCTCTCTTTCTCTCTCTCTCTCTCTCTCTTTCTCTCTCTCTCTCTCTCTCTCACACACACACACACACACACACGAGGAAATTCTCCTCGGGCTGCGCCCTGCACAACTCTAGGTGGCACCATTCATGTCACAGTTGAGTGGACTAAGACTCCAGGTCCTAACCACTGCAGTCTATGTGGATGCAGTCCACTAGGCCAGAGATCAGCATGCTTTTTTCGTCGAGGGCCACTTTTGCAGGACCTACAGCCTCCACTACCAGATGCTCAATCTGTCTTGGTAGCACCAAAGCAACACCCAGATGCAAAGGCGTGGCTGCTATTTCCATAAAATTTGCCTACCCAAATACTCAGAGGTGGAAGCCAGTTTGTCTTGGCAGGGTGTCCTTTGTTAACTCCAGCTGGAGCTTCTATGGACCACCCTCCAGTCTGGCCACAGGAGGCGCTGGAGTGCATTGTCACCAGGCCCCCAGCCTGCTTGTTCTTCCTCATGCACCTCCTTTTCCTCTTGGATTACCCCAGTCATGGACTTGTATCCCAGTCATGTCCATCTCCAGAAAGTACCCTGGCTCAGGACCCCTACCTAGGCTTAGCTAAATTCAGATGCAGGTTTTTTATTCCTTTAATACCCAATTCTCTGATGTCCAAAAACCACTCATATGTGATTCTGTGATACCACTGATAGGCACCACTCTTAAACACACTTAAAGGTGCTGCTGGAAAGAGTCCAAAGACGACGGACATGAGTCGAGGTCAAGGTAACTCCATTTGTGGAGGGTCTGCGCTAGGCCATAGACTAGGCCTGGCTGTTCCATTTGGGTCTCACAACAACCATCAGGTTACCACCACTC